GAGATCAAAATATTAGGAGAAACGGTGTTGGATTGGAAATTAAATAGAAAATAATTATTGTGTTGAATATATTTGTCCTCGAACTTAAAATTAAAATGTGTCTAACCTTACCCTTTTCATTTCGTAACTTATAGATATGTGAATTACAAATGTGTATTTCTGTATATCTATGATTTGTGAAACATTTTTTAGAAGTCATAACGAATTTGACACAAAATTTGAAAGTTTAGAAATTTGTTATACAATTTTTAAAGATAAGAGACTCATTAGACACACAACTCAAAGTTTAGTGACCGAACTTATAATTAAGGGTAAAAAACATTTTGATCCTTATACTTTATCTTATACTTTCAATGGAGCAACAATTTATTTCATATACTTTCAAATTTATAATATTTGAGTTCTTGAATTTTAACAAGTAATAATTTAGTATTTGTAATTTTAAAACTGTAAATAGAATTATATATATAGAGATTGATAGTTCGAGGAACCAAATATATTAATAAACTACCATGTATAAATCCTTATATAATAAAAAGTTTATATATATAGATTGATAAATTGAAGATAAATCGTTATATAATAAAAAGTTTGACACTTCATTTTGATAGAACTTTTCAGAGTAGAAACTAAATTATTATAATTTTTAAATTACAATAACTAAAATCTTTTATCCATATTTATTTGGAAGTACATAGACCAAATCATTACAAATTAAAATTTAGAGGTTAAATCGTTATCTATACTATATATAAATCTATATCTATACTATATATAAATGGGGCTATGGAGGAGAATCTTTGCCTTCCATTTTTGCCCTACACTTTTAATAAATACTTATTTTATCCTTGAAACTTAGGTAGGATGCAACTGTTGGGTCGAGGTATCTGTTGAGAGAAGTGATGTGTTCATTCACATATGGGTGCGATTGAGATTGATAATTGTTTATATATAATATAATAGACCAATGTATTTTTTTTTAGATAGATAAGTTAATCCAAGAGGTGTGATTGATGAAATGATATATCCATTCTCAAATAGGCGTGTACAAATATCTATATAACATGAAAGAAAACACCATACATAAAATTGTGTATTTTTTTTCTCTCAAAAATTTTATGAAGGCTTTTCTCTTGCAATGAAAATTAAAAATTTTTGTTATTTGGGAGAGAAACACTAAAGATCCAAAAAATGGGTAAGTTTATTTGATTTGTTGATGAGGTAGAATATAAAATTACATTTTTATATTAATATATTAATGATTTATTTTAATTTATTAATGTTCGTATTCTCCGTAATATAGACTCTTGATTGTTGTTGTATATGTCTTAACTACTTTTAAATTCCTTATTTCATGTTTATTTTTATGTTTATGTCTTTACTAACTAACTTGAGTACTTAATCATGAATATTTATTACTTGATTTGTTAAATTAATTATTTACCTATTAGATTATTGTATTAGTTTTCATATTACAAGGGTTTTTGTTTTCCTATTTTGCCATTTAAATTTTCAAAAATTTATTGACAAGAGAAAATTATTCAGGTAAATATATTTGTTGAGAGAAGTTAATCCATTGTGGCTACATAAAGAACAGTGTTATCATCTGCATATGGTGTGATCCAAACTACGATATGAAACATCACAATCAAATGGTAGAGATGTATCTATGGAGGAGAATGTATGTTTCTTATTTTGACTTTTAAGTTTTCGTAAATTCATATTTTAATTTTTTAAATATCATTTTTAATATACTTTGAAAACAAACATTTAATACCACGTGCATTGCACGTGATTATTGCTAGTTTCAATAAAAGTACAATAACCAAATCGTTGTAAACTAAAGTTTATTAACTAAATTATTAGTCTAGGTGCGTGTAAACTCATTCGAAGACCTGTATATATAAAATAAAAAAAAAAATCATTTACTTCGACAAAAATATACCAAATGTGTATCATCAAAAACATAAAGTGAGTGAAAAACAAAAAAAGATTGGTTTGGGAGTTGAAAAAGGTGAAGTTGAAGGCTATAAAGGACAAAGCAACTGTTGGGTGTCTTTTCATTGCTTTTAATGATGTCCAACTCTGCTTGTCCCATCCCAAATAATTTATTTTTATTTTTTGGAAAAAAAAAATGGGGGGAAAATGGTCATTTTCAAGACAACATGTCTGGTTAAACCGTCCTTTTCCACTGTACTCTAAGGAGATTCCTGTCCAGAATGTCTGAATTTATTTGTCATTCAAAAATCTTACTCCTAATTTCTTCCCTTCGCTTTTACAATCACTCTCATCATGGTTGAAAAAAAGTCTGAGTCTGTATTTGATATTCGCAAACATGGTTTAAATTCAATATTCATTTCAACTAATTTATGTGAATTAAATCATGTTCAAGTCCATGTATTATTGTATTAATATATATATACACTCAAAATCACCTTATTCGTTTGTTGATAATAAAATAATAGAAACAACCAAAATAAATATTTAAAGTATGAATTTTAATGCCAGCATACTACTAAATTTGTTCCATCAAGATCCTATGTAATAGCACCGCTAAACTTGGTTGATACGTAATGGTTTTTTTTCTTTTTGTTTCTTTGTAAATTAATATCTATAAACGTTACATATCCATTCATGGTCAAGCGGGAGTAAAAGTTCCAAACGGCGAATTCAAACCACGACAGTTGTGTTATTATAACAAAAACAAAAACATGTTGATAAAATAGGTTTAAGCTTCATACCGACCCAGTGGTACAGTAAAATTAGTCAAGATACATGTAGGTCGGAACGCACGTGCTGGGCATTTGCCAAGTCAAAATTGTGGGCTTTGATCTACAAACACGAAATGCCATTATGGGGAATAGAGAGAGGTGAATAGACGAAAATGGGCCTGGGGGGAGTGTAAAACTGAACTGAAGTCGACCAAATCTTGGGTGCGAGCTAAAAATGGGGAACGCAAATAACAAAAAAGAGGGGTTGGAAAAGTCATTGTTGTTGACCGACAACGTGGAGAACCGGGATTCAGTTAAAGACTTAACCATGGTTAGCTCCGGAGAGTTAGGAAATATGACAACCTAACCCTCACCATGGTTCCCTTTTTACCGCCTCCACCCTCCCTTGATTTCAGTGCTCCATCTCAAACAATCAATTTTTGACCGTATCCCATCCCCCCATTTTACTCTTTATTATTTTTCTTTTTAATGTTTCTTTTCAAACATTATTCTCAATTTTAAAAATAATAATTGCTCTTAAATCACAACTAAAATCAAGACTATTTTTTCTTTATTTCCACTTTTTTATTTTTTTTCCTTTTCTTCCCCTACTTACATTACAAGTAAGTAAATAAATATTAATACCCAATTAGATATAATTATATAGGTGTTTGACCATTGTCGACCTGAACATAACTGATATTGTTTTTCTCTTCAAAAGTCGGAAAATGTCTAATGTATTTTCTTTTGATATCAACCATTTACTATATATGATATAGTCTGAATAGTTTGTTGGTTTGAGTGCACATTTTCACATGATTGACTTTTGTTTTCTTAGGGATGCTGATTGAGTGTGCACAAAATTTGACCAAGATAATAATCTTGTTTGATTTTATAATATTTAATGTCACGTATCATGAGAAAGATTTTAAATCCTTGAATTATTGGTTTGGTGTTATTTAGTTCTTAGAGCAAGCAATGTCAAACATTTAAGAGATTTTTTTTATTTTATTTAGTAAAACGCACACAAATCTTTAAGACGACTTGTAAGAATGTTGATCTTAAGTGAAGTGCTTTTAAAAGATAACGTGAATCAGACAACTTGAGTTGTCTGGAGCAACTTTGACTTTATAGTCCAATGTCATTAATAAATTTAAAAGTAATTTTCGTAATTTTCGTAGGACTAAAATAAATATTCGAACTCGTAATAGAATGCAAGCTTTTTAAAAATGTATACCATGTATGAAATGGATTACCAAATAAAAAAAAAAGAAATCAAACCAAATTATGTAATTTTAGAATAAAATTATTTTTAAATTAAACAAGAGATTTTGTGAAGCCACGCGCTAGGAGCGAGAGTAGGACAATAATTCGGGGAGCGGGAGAAAAAAGAAAATTCGGGCAAATCGATTTTTGGGATCCGTCCAATAAATAAAATAAAAATAACAAAAATAAAAAATGAAATGTTTATTTTTAAAAAATAAAAATGAAAAATTGGAGATAACAAACAATGAAGAAGAAGAAGGAAAAGGACACCTGAAAGAATGGCTGAATTTGTGGTCTTCTTGGGATGTGGTTGTTACACTCTTTGAGATCTCAAAAAAAAAAATAATAATAAAAGGTATAATTATTTAATTAAAATTTACCTATTTTTAATTTTGACAATTTTATTTTTATTCAAAAAAATAATTTTGCATAGGGACTCGACATCGATTAAAAATATCGCCTCAATATTGGCCTAACAATAACGAGAAAGAAAAGGAAATTTTTTCTAATTGATGTAAAATTGTTAAAAAAAAAACCCCACATTTTTACAAGAATAATGACAATTATCTGTGTGCAAATAAAGTTTATTAAAATAAATATCATTTTCCAAACACAAGAATATTGTTAAATTAGTGAAACATTTGTCAATGTTGAATTGACAATCTTTTTATTAACTTTATAAGTAATGATTAAGACGGGTGCAATTGGCCGAACACGATACGTAGTAAATATTACAAAATTCTGGTAATAAATTACACATCTTTTATCATACATTAGTTTAAATTCCTCATTCCATGAAATATAAATTTTTAATATTATCTATTCGTTCATTTTCTGGATAACGGCGAGAAAGTTCAAAATGGGTCATTCAAAGATATTTTGAAATAATTATTCTGTATGAATTAAAAAAAAGGTGAAATTGAGAAAGAAAAAAAGAAGCTCGTTTAATGGAGTATTATTTTTGGAGAGAGGGTGTTGGATTAAATAAATAAAGCAAAACGAACTGAACAGAATTTAGAAAGAGGAGAGAAAAATAAAAATCGGGAAAAAAAAATGGAGAGGAGAATATAAATAAATCTGTGTCTCTCACTTTGTTACTGGCAAATAAACTGAGGTCGGCAAAAGGAAGAAGAGTTTTCAGGCGGGTGTGTTGTGACAAATATCTCTTACTTCTTCTTCTTTTTTTCTCTCTTTACTTTCATTTCACGTTTTTCGTCTCTGATTTTCTGGGAATTTTTCCATTTCTGCGTTGGTTGGGGAAGAAATTGGGACGAATTTTTGTTGTGTGATTGGGTTTTTGAGATTTGAAATTTGGGTTTCCGTCGGTTTTTGTAACGAAACCGTGAGAATTTGAGTTGGGTTTTCTATCCCCTTCTGGAGGGATTTGATAATTGTGGGGGAATCGGAGTGGGTTTTCTTTGGAATCTCAGTTCTCTGTGAATGGCGACGAATTCGCGTTTGGGAGTTCACTGAAGTTTAATTCTCTGCGATTCTCTTCTGGATGTCAATTTGGACGGTCAACTTTTGATTCAGGATAAAGGTAAAGGAAGGGAGATATATAGGGATATTTTATTGCCTGATTTTCCTATTTCTTGATCATGTGTTTTGCTCCTTGAAGAATCACGATAGATCAACTGATAGATATTTATGTCTTGTTTGACTCATTTGGATGAGAAAATGCCTCTGTTTACCTTTTGTGGTTGATTTTTCATATCTGGGTAGTATTCAGCTTTTGAGTGTTTCTTCTTCTTCTTCTTCCTTTTTTTTTTATAATTTTTTTTTCTGATTTTTCTTTTCTATTTTGTATTCTCCAGTTATCAGGCCAGGGCACAGGAGCTTTTTGTTCTTTCTCGATTTTCGGTTTTTTCTAATTTGTGTATCGTTTATTAGAGGGTGATTGATTACTGGTCATCTGGATTGTAAAATTCATTATCTGAGGATTTTTATTGACAGTCAATAAGCAAGGAGGACTTATTTTTGTGACTTGTGGAGGACTTTTTTGGTTTCATTATGAATAGAGGATTGGATTCGGTGATAGAATCAATGAGGAACCCTGAGAAGTGCTTAGATTCTCAGCTATGGCATGCCTGTGCTGGTGGGATGGTTCAATTGCCATCCATTAACTCAAAGGTAGTCTACTTCCCCCAGGGTCATGCCGAGCACGCCCAGGGGAATGTTGATTTTGGGAATTCTAGAATTCCTTCGATCATTCTTTGCAGAGTATCTGGCATAAGACATATGGCAGATCCCGAAACAGATGAGGTTTTTGCTAAGATAAGGTTGATTCCAGTGAGGAAAGACGAATTCGATGTGGAAGATAATGATGAACTTCTGGGGCACCGTGAGATTAGGAGCCAGGAGAAACCTGCCTCCTTTGCCAAGACACTGACACAATCTGATGCAAACAACGGCGGGGGATTCTCTGTGCCTCGCTATTGTGCCGAGACCATCTTTCCTCCTTTGGATTACTCGGCAGAGCCTCCTGTTCAGACCATTCTTGCCAAGGATGTTCATGGTGAGATTTGGAAGTTTAGGCATATATACAGGGGGACTCCACGGCGCCATCTTTTGACGACGGGGTGGAGTAACTTTGTGAATCAGAAGAAACTTGTTGCTGGTGACTCAATCGTTTTCCTGAGGGCTGAAACTGGTGATCTCTGTGTCGGAGTAAGGCGAGCCAAGAAGGGAATTGGTTGTGGAATCGATTACTCACCTGGGTGGAACCCAACAAATTCTGGCTCTCCACTTGTTGGGTATTCTGATTTTATGAGGGAGAATGAAGGTAGACTGGTAAGAAGAAATCCGAATGGGAACCTGAGCGGAAGAGTGAAAGTCGAATCTGTCATCCAAGCTGCAATGCTTGCTGCCAGCACAAAGCCGTTTGAGGTTGTGTACTACCCATGTGCTGGTACTCCAGAGTTTGTTGTTAAAGCCTCTACTGTGAAATCTGCTTTGGATCATCACTGGGGCTCTGGTATGAGATTCAAGATGCCTTTCGAAACCGAAGATTCATCTCGGATAAGCTGGTTTATGGGAACTATATCTTATGTCCAGGTAGCTGATCCTATTCGGTGGCCTAATTCTCCATGGCGATCTCTGCAGGTTTGTTTATGTCAATTTATATCTGTATTTATTCATATTCACACAGCCTATAAGCTTCAATTTAGTGTTCTGGGAGTATTTTGTATCTGTTAATTTGAAAAGGCATCAAAATTACTTCAGCTGCTGCATCTGTTGAGTGAGCTTCCTAAGACTTTGTGGAAATATGATCTTTGTATAAGACACCTTTCTGATCTACCAATTGGTCATTCTCTTTTGTTAATAAGCAATATAGTTAGTTTGATGTTCTTGCTTCTAATTTTTGCGATGTTTGATTGGATTGCAGGTGACATGGGACGAGCCAGATTTACTGCAAAATGTGAAGAGTGTTAACCCGTGGTCGGTTGAAGTGGTAGTAAATATGCCAGCTATCCATGTCTCCCCCTTCTCGCCACCAAGAAAGAAGCCGCGTTTTCCGCTTCCAGCAGACACTGCCGTATTTGGTCACCTTCCAATGCCATCATTTTCGACCAATTTCTTTGAATCAACCAACCCATTACTAGGTATTACCAATAACAATATTCCTGCAGGCATACAGGGAGCCAGGCATACTCAATTTGGACTCTCTTCATCCAACCTCCAAATCAGCAGACCGCAGTCGGGACAGTTTCCCATTGGTTTTAAGCACCTTGATGGTGCCACTCCTCTTCCTGGAATCCATGGCGAAGATATCTTTGGAGGCACGAAAAACCCCGATAACCTTTCTCACTGGCTAACAATGGGAAACCACATTCAAAGCCCAAAAGAGATCAAAGAAACAAAACCAGCTCACATCTTATTGTTTGGCCAACTCATTCTGCCTGATCAACAGATTTCTAAGAGCTGCTCTGGAGATACGACGAATGCATCAGATGCCAATCTAGAGAAAGCATCAAACCTTTCTGACGGTTCAGGTTCATCATCACAACAGAATGGTTCGCTGGAGAATTCGTCAGATGGAGGATCTACCTCGTACAACGGTCAGGAAAAAACTGGTCTTGGCTTGGACACTGGTCATTGCAAGGTTTTTATGGAGTTGGAGAACGTCGGTCGTACTCTCGACCTATCGGTCCTCGGATCGTACGAAGAATTGTATAGAAAGCTGGCCAATATGTTTGGTGTAGGAAGCTCAGAGATGCTGAGTTCTGTTCTTTATCAGGATGCACTTGGTGCGACAAGGCATGCTGGAGATGAGCCTTTCAGGTAATAATTCTTGAGCTGATCTTTAATCTGTTTCTTCATTGCCAATCTCATCATATGGTATAAAAGAAAGATATCGTTTAGATTCTGAATTCTTATGGCATGCCACTTTCTTTTGAGATTTTGCAGCGAGTTTCTGAAGACGGCAAGAAGGCTAACCGTACACGCAGATTCTCGAAGTAGCGACGACATCAGAATGTAGGGGGAAGGGAACCTTTT